GATTATTTCATTTGGGTATATGCTGTCTGTACTTTTTGTGTGAACTCTGCTCCAGTCCTGCGTTGCTGATGGCCACTGGATTTTGTAGTGAAAGACAGAGGAAAGGATTTCTGATTAATAATATTTTAACTGAAGATACTTGAAAAAACAACTTCCTGGGGGAAAGAAATTTACATCATGATTAGAAAAACCAATGTACTTAACATTTTCCTAGGTAATAATCAAGTATTTCTATTTTAAAATAACAAAAACATGTAGCAGCCCCACATGCAAAAACTACAAAAGCCAAGTGAAAATACTTTACTTATAAAATATTTACAGTTCACAAAATGTCAGCTGAGAATGTGTGCAGTAAATTTTGTGCTTGAACAGTACAAAAGAGTAATTTTATGATAAATCCTTTGAGACTGATATGCATTTTTTGACTTTGCACATTCCTAGTTACAATGTTTGATTTGCCTGTAAATATGATCAAGGTACTTGTTTGTTTTTTTCTTTAGATGGTTTACAAAGGTATTAAAAAAAACCAACCCAAAACCTCAACACTGAGTCTTAGCTTAAATTTAGAGGTGAAAAAGTCCCCTCAGTCATTGCAGAATTCCTGTCTGTTGCATTTAATGCATTTAATTTTAGTCCGGTGAAATGCATATCCTCAAGTTCCTTGCATAGGCAGTGAAAGCAGGGCTGTCTGTCCAGAACAGGAGCCTGAGGTAGCTCCTCTGAGTCCACTCTTGCAGAAGTCTCTTTCTCTCTCTCTGTAGTTACGCAGAAAGAGCCCAAAGGGATCAACAACTGCAGGTGAAAGTTAGCCCTTGTGAATGTCTTTCTAGGAGTAATAGTAAGATACAGCATTATCATATGGGGAAGTTTTTCTTAACGTACTTCTTGGAGAATGGAAACCTTGTAATGTGATAGCTACAGGCAGAGGGATGCCTGAGCCAGCCCCTCGCCTGGAAAGGGTCCAGTCAGCTGGGCACCCCAGCTCCAGCTCTGCTCTGAAGGTGTGGCCAGGTTGCACCTAGTGCCTGAGCTGGCTGACAAATCTCTGCACTGATGCAGGAAGTGTAAACCCCAAATTAACCCTATTAGTATCTATCTGAAGCCTATTTAATACTGTAACTGACTGCTTTGCAGTCAGCTCTTGGGTAATTGCAGGCGGTCTTAGTCGGTGTTTAGCTGAGTTGTGTGTGTGTAGCTCTTCTCCCTTTTTCGTAAGAATTTGGCCTTTCATCTCACAGTAATTTTTGTTGCTTTGCTCGCTATTCATCAATGTTTTGATAACACAGTTATCAAATCAGGATGCACAATTCCAAAATAATTTTGACTTTATGCCTGCATCTAGTAAGTCCCAGATACCTCACATCTAGTCTCTTTATTAGCTGTTTTCCTTCATGATGAAGATGCACAGTCCCTTTAACAATAGGTATATTTACGAGGCCTTTGTTATTTTTGTAAGTATACCTGCTGTGGCGGTCCTTCTTGAAAGTCAGGAGGGATCTTGTGTGTCATACATTTGTATTCTTTGCTGATATAAATACTTTCTACCTTCTCAGTGCAGCTTCTTTCTCTTTCTGGTAATTATTTCACTGCTGTTGTATTGTAAAACCATTCCTATTTTATTCATTCCTGTTGTTTTTTTTGTTTTCTCCCTTTCTGCTTCCTTTAATGGTATTTTGGTTGGATATTTCAGTTTTAGTAGTGATTTCAGATTATTTCAGAGTGGTCCTTTGTATAATTTTCAAGACAGCTGCTTGCTCTTTAGTAATTGTTACAGTGATTTTATACATCTTTATTTACACCTTTTCTCATTTTTCTTTAGGCTGCTTCTATAATGTCGGATTTTCATACTACTACTTTCCATATTGTATATGCCAACTTTCTTTATTCTACCAAATTTGATTCCTGCAGTCCAGTAGTTCTGTATGCCTACTTTTTTCTGAACTCTTTTTTTATGGTGGTGAATTCAGATAAAATGTAGTTTGTGTTACAGGCATCGCTATGATTTTCATGGTCTCAATCTGCTCTCTCTAAGATATCTTCCCCAGTGACCTGGTCCTATCAACTTTTACTGATAACTTTTCTACACTTAGAAAGGGTATACCTTATATATTTACATTATGTTTATGATCCATCAGCTGGTTTGTACCAGCTGTATAAATTTTGCGATCGTTTGGATTTTGTTATTGTGTAGAAATTTTTGAGCAACATCATACTGGAATTTTTACTTGTGCTCTTCAAATTGAATGATTTATTAGTTTGAAAGTAAACTGTGATATAAATCTAAGCTGGAGAGAATGATCATACAAATAAAATCTAATTATTAATTATGCAATTTCAAAAATGGTAAAGGAATCTAGGGCAGTAAATTTCAAATGCTGAAAAGGTGATTTTTGGATACTTGCCAAGCTAGAAGAGATTGTACTCACTTTGAAAAATACAGGAAAGAGGGAAGAAGGTGAACAGTAATGAAATAGTCTACTTTAAAGAGGAACTCTCTATCTAGATTTTAAATTCAGTTGTGGGTGTAGCATTGAGATTCATTGATTCAGATTAACAAGCGTAACTGTTCCATGGGTATGGAATAACTGGAAAAAACTTAACTAATGCCTATGTTTGGAAAGTTTTCTGGTTTTTAACATCTTTCAAGTGACTTGTTAAAAGGGGATTAAAAAAAAAAAAATCTTTTTAATATTACGTTCAGGAGAGTCTAGATCTGTGAAAATAGCTATGAGAAGAGAGGCCAGATTTTTAGTCAGAAAATAGACATTCTTGCATGTGATATGTGAGTGTACATATGTGTAGGGGAAGAAGAATACAATGCATATATAGTCATTTGTGCATTCAAATTGAGTTTTGCATGCACATACAAAATTTGCCTCATGCAAGAATGCATATATTTACACAGGTATTAATCTATTTTCTGACCAACCATTAAGATGACTAAGGGGGGAAATTTAATCATTACTGTATCATACACGCTTTCAAAAAACCTATTTGAATGAGCTCTGGGCAATATAAAATGCTGACACTAAACAAGTGAAGACATTAGGGAAAATGGTCAAACACTGAGGTCCCATCAGACAATGGAATAATCTGCCAAGGGATGTCACGGAGGTGCTAGTGTGGAAATAAACCTTGCTTCAGTTCTGCCTCACTACTCCGCTGATCCCAAAAACGCGTGAGTTCTTTGGTTAGCACAGCCGTCTTCCTTTTCTCGTACCTTTTATGCTTTCTCTGCCATATTATATTTTCTGAGGAGCTATATTACAGGGTACTGTAAGGCCTGTGCTTCTCCATAGTTCAGCTCTGCCAACCTTAAGACTGAATTTTTCAACTGGACTTGGAAAAAACATTGCATAGCTATTTATTAGCCAGACTTCTGAAGTTTGTTTTTTTTTTAATCTCATTCATGCTGCGAATGTATGCAAACATATTCCTTACTATACCAGAAACATACCATTAATGCCTTTCTAGTTTGTACACGATTTAATTATTCTAATGATGTTTTGGAAGCTGAAATTTCTTTCCTAATTGTTTGCAGCCTTGGAATGAAAATTACTGAAGCCCAAAAGGTCCTTGAAAAACTGACTAAGTTTTCTGAAAGCTTGCAAGAATGCCCTGGGCAGGGCACTCACACAAATGGCTGAGTTTTAGATTGCTAAGCAGTGACAGAAATGCCACACCAGGTTGTGCTAGGTAGAGACAATGGAAGCAGATTTGGTGGCCCTGAAACCTTCTGTGAAGTATCTTTGGCTGCTCCTCCAGCTTTAATCACTTGGAATAGAGAATATGAAGGGGTGAAAATGCACTGGGGCCCAGGCCTATGATGCATATTGTCTACCAGCCCTTCCTCTCATAAATCAAGAATTGTGAGGCTTTTCAGTGGCAAAATTAATTATATAAACATATACACACTATGGTTTACTATACTGAGGGTTTCTCCCACATAAGGCTTTTATAAATGTTAAGCTACCATAGAAAAGTAATAGCTTTGGGGCATGTACATTAGAAATCAAGCAAGCTTTTGAACAGCTATGAAGAGGATATTTGTTACATCTAAGCTCTAGTGACATTGACAGTGTCCCTTGAAGATCATTTCCTCTGTTCTTAAAACCTAATTCTTAGAGTTTCACAGACTGTCTTGAAATTGTCTGAATAATGTTATTCTTCCCTGCTGCTTTTAATGCAAACATGAATATGAAATTGCATATGCACAAAATAAGTACAGTTTTAATGCAGACCAATATCTTTTCTCCAGAGCAACTGTTGTGAGACAGAAATCCCTTTGAGGCACTTTATTCCTATGTTGAAATATTTTATCTCATTTATTATTCCTGGAATTTTATTCCATTTGGAGAATGAAATTTCCCTGATCAGTAGCCATAACACCAGGCTGTGGTTTGCAACATATAATTTATCGCCCAAGAAGCACAAAGGCCTTGATATAATATTCAATGTTTCTCTGCTCTCCATCTTTCTTTGTTTCCATGGTTATGCTCCTGGCTTGCTTGAATTGGTTATTTCCATCTTCAAAGCACATTTGCCATAATACAAATGAAAACCAGGGTGTGGTAGGTTAATTTCTTACCAAAGTCATTGATATGGTGGTGTGGTAGATCTTGCTTAGTGCATGATGGGATGATTCTGTGTATCCCATAGTAAGATATGCATTAAAAACAGTGATCGAA